AACAATGTCCTTCTAGGTTAGAGTGACTACGACCATTTTCATAATGCCACAACACCGAGACAACGCTCCGTTACCCTAAAATACGCTAAAAAAGATGTGATAAAAGAGAGTTTTAGTAGATCGTTCCGATACCTCCGATAGCCCCGATAACGGTACTATGCATGCGCAAGGGAGGCGGTGGCGAAGTATTGGGATATCGTTATCGGAGTCATTGGAACGATCTACTAAAACTCTCTAATATGTGAAGGTGTTATTGCCACAAGCATCCTCGTTCGTTGTTGCACACTTATCAACTTCTCTTAGAAAACAGGATGTAGTTTTTTTCTGTTTCTTTCACCTTATTTGACCCTGTTTTAAAAGCTACTTACTTTTTTGTAGTCCAACTTCTAGGGTTGGCCCACTTTATTTGTAAATTCCAGCCAGGTTATCTGCATCTCAGTCACACTTTTTGTGAGTCAGCGTTCTTCTTCCTCTTTTTACCCCAGCAGGACGCATCTTATTTCACGCAGATATCTCCACAAATTTAACATATTGGTGTCTAACGTAAAAAGATGAGCTGGCGGGCTAGTTGGTCGTTCATCATAAATGAAATAGCGCTAATCAACAAGGAAGGAAGGACGAGGTAGACAGGAAGCGCGATGAACTGACAACTGACATTTAACACGGTCTATAAAGGAGGAGAAGAAGAAATAAGTTACTGATGTTGTTGCTTAAAAGAAAGAAACGTACACCCTCAAAGTTGTTATACGTAAAAATTTAAAATAAAATTTATGAAAAAGGTGAGTTGCTGATGATATCTGTGAGTGATGTTGTCAATTTAGCGCCCTTCCTCTCTACCTCGTCCTTCCTTCCTTGTTGATTTGCGCTATTTTATTTATTTTTGTCTAACGTATACTTGATATCCTGGGCTTGTCAAGAGAGGGAAACTCGTGAGCGCGGGTCACAGTACTCTGCCTTTCGCTGCCTAGCTGTGGCATCAGCAGACGTCTATCTGGAGAACACCGAAATAAACTGCAGTCTCTTCGTGCTCCGTGCGTTTTTGAACGGCACCTAAAAAGGTGCGCACGGCAAACGTACGTTTACATTTCCTTGTTTTAATCGGCGTTCTAATAATTGTTGTTATGAGTTTACTTTTTTTGGATTACTTATATTTATATACTGGAAACTTTTTTTTATTCACCAACGTCTCAACCGAGGCTTGACATGTTCCGAACCAAAGAAAAAAGAATATCGAGCCAAACCTTATTGATTATTCAATTACCACCTTACCGTTACAGGTATGTTTTGCTATATCCTGGCAATATGAGCCGGTATAGTAAGATGAACATTAGTCAATTCTTATCCTAGTTTTGGCTAGGTGCATGATGACTTCTACTGCTTCGCGATTTAGACAATGGAGAATTTTAGTAGATCGGTCCGATGACTCCGAGAAGGATACCCGATAAACCGCCACCGCCTTTTCGCATTCATCATATCGTCATCGGTGGTATCGGAGGTATCGGAGCGATCTACTTAAACTCTCAAATATCAGGCGCTGGCTACAGCGACGAAGCTTTGCTCTATCTTTGAGGTAAATAGTATTTCAGTTGCTTCGCTGCAGAAGCCCAATGCAGAGCATACAATATTTGTGAGGAACAATAGGGCACTCCCATCCAGTGCCTCAGTTCAAAGCGTCTTCGGCGTAGCAGTTTACATACTGAGTAAGGAATACCACAAAATGTCTGACGAGACTTCGAGAGTCAGCTGTTGCTCAAAATATTCAGGGTCATTATATGGAACAGGTTGCAACAATAAGAACTTGAATAACCGGCTCCCATTTGTTTCTTAACTGAAAACAATATTGTTGAAAGTAACGCCAAAAAAGTGACGGATTACTTTTTGGGGTAGCGGCCACTTACTTTTTGGGAGGGTAATTGTAATTGTAATAAATTACAATTTAGCCTTGAGTAATTGTAAATGTAATTCCTTACTAATTTTCAGTAACGTGTACAAGTCTGGTTTAAGTGCCTTATACTGCGCTACGACGAGAAACGAAATCCAGTCACCGGTACATTTGTGCTTCATATAAAGCCTGGAATCCCATTCAAGGAATACCTTGGCGCGCGACATAAGAAGCAGGAACGTGTGGGTTTCTCGCAGTCGCAACGCAGACAAAGCCACTCAGACGCCCTTAAAAGCAACTGTGCGTAGACGCCCTCCCCTAGGGTGCCTTCATATGCGCTTTGCGCTCCCCTCTTGTTGCGAGCGTTGCCGCTTGCAGACGTCAACGCGTGACAATATCACTTGGTAGTAATATCCGGAGACTGCACGTTCTATGCCCTATACACAACTTGCGCAGGACGTCTTTCGCGTGCACGACGGTTTTTTGTGCGCCTCGAGGGTTCGGTTCACCGTGTTAGTTTCACAACCCAGAAGTAGTAGCTCGAGGGAACGGGTGAGTCGAAGTAAACCTGCGTACACAGCGATGGCGACGCTTGCAAGCTATGTATGTATTAGTCAAGCTCGATTTGCTTGCACCTCCTGCACCGGTGCAGAAAAGTGTAGGTCGCTGTACTTCCGGTCGTATCACAATACACATACCGGAGGTACACTTCCCTACACTTTTCTGCGCCGATGTATGAGGTGCAAGGAAATTGAGTGAGCCTAAGTTATTCAATGGGTGGCACATTTGACCGCGTTACTCAAAGCGCATCCCGGGGGGGGGGGGGGGGGGGGGTGCATGGTTGGTCTGGCAGAGGCTGCTGCGTCCTGAGACGAAGCTCCTACTTTACGCCTACAAAGAACGGCGATCTCAATGCTGTAGAGTGCACATTGCGGAAGCACTCTGGAACCTTTTACATCTACGGAGTATTTATTCACTTGCGGCCATAGCGGTTTGCGCGGCTTCTGAGCGCGTGGTGACGGCAAGCTTCCGCCGTTCTTTTGCAACGTGTATTCTGCGCCATCGAGATTGCCGGTCTTACCGCTCATTCACACTGGAAGCGGATCCGCGTTCGCAAAGCGGTTGCGAACGCGGTTGTATAAAGATTCAGTACAATTGCGCGCGCACCTGATGTCATCGAGTGCGCGTGCAATTGCACTGAATCTTTATACAACCGCGTTCGCAACCGCTTTGCGAACGCGGATCCGCTTCCAGTGTGAATGAGCGGTTAGAAAGCTAATAATGTGAGCTCGTTCTGGGCTTGCGCTCTAAACATCATCCTCAAATATGGCATCCAGTGAATATGCAACGTTTGAAACGCGATAGCGTTGTCCACTAAGTCAAATTGAAAGGCCTCTACGCATAGTTGCCTTTGAATGCATTTGAGTGCGTTTGACTGCGTAGCGTCGAAAAACAAAAGCGAGTCCCCGGTACATATGTGCTTCGTTGGAGCGTTGAATCCAATTGAAGGAATAGCTTGGCACGCGACATAAGAAGCGCGAATTTCCTGCTTCCCTGAGGCTGCACCGCAGTGAAACGCACTCAAACACAACTGTGAATAAAAGGCCCTAGTAACTCTATCAGCGAGCCATACCCCCCAGAACTGGCGCTGCCCCTGAAACTCATACCGTGCGGCACTCAAACTAGCTTCCCAGACCGCCACCGGGCGCAATTTTGATATATGTTAAATCGTTTTAAAATTAATTTTCTAGACTTTTTGACGGCAGGCCAGAAACACTAGTTTAATTTTTCTACGCTGCCGAGAAAACCAAGGCCACACCTAAGAACTTAGTGCAAAATATTTCCTTTCTGTACACCTTAATGGGGTACTCTAGCGTTTTCTTCATAGTCCTGATTTGCCTGAAAATTGGCTAAACACACCAATAAACATCGCTGAAATAGTAATCGACATATTGGGCCAAGATAACTTGTTTCGCAAATGTAGTGAATTTACAATTTTAATACTCACCGTGTTTGTTAAAGCCTCTACTATACTCGTTTTTACCTCAAGAACCGCAGTAGAAAAAAGTACGGCTTGTCGCGGAGCATTACAAATTTTTCTCTTTATGCTGAGAATTGAGGTATGTGTAGGTAGATTTTAGATTATATAGGTGTTATTTTATCAGCAGCTATATGTTTCGAAGTCATAAGCATCGCTTCTGCCTCCGAGAACCAAATCTTGCAAGAACTACTTCGCGCGGCGTATGAACATTGAGCAGAACTTTCTTCTTTTTTTTAGCTGAAAACGGGCATAGCAACAACGAAAAAGTGACGTCAGAGGAAAATAGGGGTCCACTCTTTGAAATGTAGTGTTCTCAACTGATTAAATGCAGCTTAAAGGTGTGAAATGGATGATTTAGAAGCTCACTCCAGCACCCGCGCAGCAGCGCGAAACTAATGCTCGGCGTAGTGTATTCTTAGACTACCCGCACAACCTGCAAGCCTCCCTTCCCCTCACGTCGCGGCACTGAAAATTGCGGGTATATTTACTGATGGCTTTGGCATAATATTTGCTTCCCGATTTCACAATAACTCTTCTAACTTTCCCTCTACTATATAGCATAGCGGGCGGGATAGGAGCCGGCGATTTGGAAAATATATTTAGTTGGGCTAGCTTGACAAATCACCGGAATACACATATAAAAACCTCAAGGCCCTAAATATTATCGTGTCTTTAAGTTCATTTTTCTTCTGCTTTTACTTTTACGTAGGTATACATGCCGCTGAATAGCATTTCCATGGTGTAGCTCGCTTACTCTCACTTACCTTCACCTCCCAATTTCAGGCGAGGTGGATGAATTTGCAAGCCCGAAAAGAGTCATGAGATTGAATTAGTGACCTCATGAGTTCGAGGGTTTGAGTTAGTCCAAGTAAAACACTGATGATGAGTCATACGTGGATGTTCAAAAGTGAGCGAGTTTCGGGTTTTGCTTCCAGTCGTGAGTTACAACATGCGATAATGGTAATATATGCGTAGATAACTGGGTGCGAGTTCAAGCAAGTTGAACAACATCGAAAGTTCAAAATTGGAACAGTTTAGCTATTGATACTGTGCCAGAGAGACAGTGCCACCACTTACCTGCAGAACGATTTGGGGCTGTAGATATCCTCCCATGGATCCTATATTTGCCACCCACACGCCGGAATAACTGTCCGCAACCATCACCGGCATCAATGTGTGATAGGGCTTCTTAAGTGGGCCAATGCAGTTCGGGTGTCCTTCCACTCCCACAAAACCCATGGCTCGGTTCTGTTACGGAAATGAGATGAACCGTGAGATAGCGTTAAGGGAAGACACATCCGGGGAGAAAAATATGGTTTTATATTTTTTCTCTAGGATATTGAAACTCCGACTAATTATCAAGTTTTGTTTTTTGTTCTTCTGGTACATTCGTTCGTTTCAATGTAGCTTTTATATATTATGCTCAGGGACAGAAAAAGTTTAATGGAATAGTTGTTTCTTGTGCACAAATGTAGGCACACTTAGTTGCATCAAGAGCAAGCTGCAATAGCTCATTTGGTTTTAATGAAATATAGAGGACTAGTAACAGTGTCCAAAATCTTTACAATTTTCCAATATAGGAAAAAAAAGAAGACACGTAAAACAATTTCCATATTAGAAGCCCCTTAGAAGTGAGTTCAATTTTGATAACCATGTAAATGATATACTGTGATTTAAAATATATAATAACACTTTGTGTATCCGAAAAAATAACACACGCAAACTGCAAATTCTCGTAATGATCTAAAATTTCTAAGTAGTAAAGACCAGTGCCCAATCTGTGAAGACATCCCAGAGTTTAAAAAAAAAAAAAACGAGAAACATTTATTTGAAAGTTTAAAGGATGCATACTCCTGGAACATCGGCTGAAATTTACATAAGAAATGGCCTGAATAAAGGTAGAATGTAGAAGAAGCATTCAGAGTTACTAAAATGTCCCACACTCTTTGTTGTAACTTTCATAGATCCTCCCACTCCATGGGCCATCAATCATCAGTTTGATTAGCTGCTTCGTCCACGTCAGCATTACGATCTTCTCAAGGTCTCGGTGGGTGATTTTCGATACAGCTGACTGAATATTCTTGCTAGTGAAAGTCTGGTGGTTATTGCTGTTGGCAGTTTGAATATCTCGCAGAAAGTCGGAAACCAATCACAGCTTTCAAGATGGTGGCAAAACACGTGCGAGTTTCGATCTCGTAGCTTCAATTAGCGCTTAAGTCTCCGTCTTACGAAGCACATTTCGACGTAAACGTAGGAAGAAAAAGCTGACTTCGGGCAATCGTTTTTTTCTAAGTGTAGGTTTAGAGGCAATAAAATATTTTGCGTTTCCTAGCAGACCCCGGACACTTAGACGATTCTCACAAGTAAATAATGTGGCAGATCGCACCTCTCCCAAGTAACGTCGAAGCACCGATTTCGGACATGACTGAACTTGTGTTCAGTTTCGAAGAACTCAGTTGTCTTTTCCGAAACTGTTTTTGTGAGAAAAAAAATAAATATATATATTACTATCTTGATTTCATGTGTTCGTCGATTTCAACAGGTTCCACATCAATTATCATCTGAATTGTTTGTGTTTTAATCCGTATTTGCTACAGTTGCCTAGTATCGTTCTTTGTCGAAGTTTGCAATTACTTTATAATGAGGTTTTGTATATTAGTCAAGTAACTAAACTGAAATAGTTGGTATAAAATAATATTAATAAACAGGCGAGCTGGTTAACCTTACAGATTATTTTAACAGGAAACCTCAATAACACAATTAATTATACAAATATATATATATATATATTGTTACGGGTAAACCGAAAACCGCCGTTCCAGTCTCGTTTCTTCGTCTTCTTCTACCCTTAGTACACCTCTTCTACCTTCACCGTTACACTCGCCCCTCCCGTGCACTGGGCTGTCCGTCTCGGACAGAAGCAACATGTTCATCGCGCGTTACGTAGAGTTTCAGTTGGCCAACGTGAGCAGTGACAGTCCGGTGTCTACCTGGTTGAGGTAGCGTCCGAAGCTTCTCGAGGCGATATGTTACCGGACCGAGCTGTTTCCATATTTTAAAGGGTCCGCAGTACCTTGGCATTAATTTTTCTCATCGCTGTGGGCGTCTAAAATGACTTCGAAGAAGCACTAAGTCTCCCGGATTCAACGACGGTCTCGCATTTACATCTTCTTAGACGCCCTGCATGTAGCGACTGCTTGTGAAGGATGGCCAGTCGAGCTCTTTCCCTTGCTTCGATTAATCGGGCGGAAAAGTTACCATTATAGTCTTCTGCCCGGCGGGTCCATGTCATCTCGATTGCTGTCTCATCTGGAAGCGTGGAAAGTCTCCCGTAGACTAGTTCAAATGGCGATTGAGTCGTCGTTTCTTGCTGAGACGTGTTTAGTGCAAACGCGGCTGTGCAGACGTATTGGTCCCAGTTCTTGTGGGACGCGTTGACGAATGCTGTCATTACATCGACCAATGTGCGGTTGGTGCGCTCGACAAGACCATTTGTTTGAGGGTGGTAGGGTGAGGCCGCTGCATGTTGAATCCCGTAATTTCTAAGGGTATCCTTGAAAGAACGCGACATGAACGACGTTCCTCTGTCAGAGATGATCATCCTTGGAGCTCCGTGCCGACACACTAGATGGTTATTTACGAAGCTGACAAGGTGCACAGCTGACGTATCGGGAACTGCTTTGACCTCAACCCACTTCATTAAGTAGTCGGTCGCCACAATAATGTGCCTGTTTCCAGTATCTGATTTCGGGAAGGGACCAAGGTGATCAATTCCCAATACTTCGAATGGACTCCTTGGGGGTGGTATCTGTTGAAGGTCTGGTTTGCCTAGGTTCGGTGGCGTTTTGCGCATTTGACAAACGGTACATGAAGCGACGTACCGCCGAACGTCGTTCCTCAAACCCGTCCACCAAAATCTTCGCAGGATCTTGTCCAGCGTTCGATGCTGTCCGAGATGCCCTGAGGTCGGAGCGTCATGGCACATCTCCAAGATATTTTTCCTAGCTTTCTTGGGGACAACAGGAAGCCATGGCCCTGAAGCACGTGAACGATGGCAAAGTAGACCATATTTTAGCTCGTAATGTTTTCGCAAGCAACGCAGTCGCCGTGTAGAAAGTGAAGAAGAATCGTTGCTTCCGACCGTAAGCAACTGAATTATTTCCGATGCTTCAGCGTCTTCCGATTGCATGTGTTGCAGATCTAAGATTGAAGACACAGGAAGAACTTGTAGCTCCTCTACCGGATTACGTGACAAGAAATCAGCATCTTGATGGTACCTCCCACTCCGGTGAACAATACAGAAGTCGTACTCTTGCAGCTTCATGGTCCATCTTGTTAACTTCGGGGTAAGGTCACTCTTGGATTGAAGCCACCGCAATGCTACGTTTTCCGTGACCACCGTGAAACGCTTGCCATAGATATAAGGGCGAAATTTTTCTACAGCCCACACCACCGCGAGACATTCCAGTTCGGAAGAGTAACATCGACTCTCTGCTTCACTCAGCTTCCTGCTTGCATAGGCGACGGGTCGTTCCCGACCATCCCTATCTCGCTGAAGAAGGACGGCACTTAACCCTTCTCCACTGGCGTCTGTGTGAAGGAACGTTGGGGCGTCCTCCACAAAATGCGCAAGCGTAGGCGGTTCAAGGAGGGATCTTTTCAAATCCTCAAAAGATGCAGCTTCGTCTTTGCCCCATTTCCACTTGGTGTCTTTTTTCAGAAGTTGGTTTAAGGGAGCAGCTCTAGCAGAAAAGTTACTGACGAAGCGACGAAAATAAGAGGCAAAACCCAGAAAACTCTTCAGTTGCTTTATGCTAGTAGGTGCGGATATGCTGGCAAAGGCTGATAGCTTCGCCGGGTTTGGCCGAATTCCATCTTTGCTGACCACGTGACCAAGGTAGGTTACTTCACTGTACCCGAAAAAACATTTGGATGGGTTTAGACGTAGTCGAGCGTTCGTGAGGGCGTCTAGAACAAGACCTAGACGTTGCTGATGTTCGTCGAAACTGTCGGCATAGACGATTACATCGTCTAGATAGACTAATGCCATGGTCCATTTTAGACGGCCGAGAACCCTGTCCATGAGACGCTGGAAGGTCGCCGGCGCATTACACAAGCCAAATGGTAAACGCCGGAACTCAAACAGTCCGTCGGGTGTCACAAAGGCTGATTTTTCAGCGTCGTTTGACTCGAGTTCAACTTGCCAGTATCCTGAAATGAGGTCTAATGTCGTGAAGTATTTGCAACCCTGGAGCCGATCGAGAGCATCATCAAGCCGAGGCAGGGGATACACATCGGGCTTAGTAATGCTGTTTAACTTTCTGTAGTCTATACAGAACCTTGTCGAGCCGTCCTTCATCTTGACGAGCACGACGGGTGATGACCATGGGCTGTTCGGTGTGCCACTACGCCTCTCCGGAGCAAATCGTCCACTTGAGCACTGATCTCCTGTCTTTCGGAGATCGACACTCGTCGGGGTTGGTGATGTATTGGCGCGTGGTCACCGGTGTTGATGGTGTGGCGAATTAAAGGCGTACATCCCAATTCTTGCTTTGTAATGGCTATACAGTGACGGAACGTTTTGAGTAAAGACTGTATGGACTCCCTCTGCGTTGCTGTTAGGTCTGGTCCAAAGTTAAATTCAGTCCACGGAATGTTGTCATCTTTGCCGAGTCTGCTCTCTGGGGTGGGTACCACCGGAGAACACGCAACGGTTGCGATCATGGTCTCTGGCAATATTTCAAAAGCTGTTCCTAAACTTTCACCTCGCTTAAGGTGAATGTCATCAGTGGCCAAGTTAACTACTAGAATGTTAAGGGCACCTCGTCTCGAAGAGATAAGGGAGCGAGGTGTTGCAAATTCAGTCCCAGGTTGCGAGTGAAGAACCGCTTCAACCAAAAAATCTCCTGAACGCCGATTACCCTGAATCGACGATTGAACCCGGACGGCTGAAGACTTCGGAATCGTTACGTCTAGCGTGGAGACGACTAAGCAGGTGGAGGGATCGTGGGTGAATTTTAGAGGTAACAGAGGATAGAAAACTTTCACCCATGTTCGACAGAAAACTTCAACCAATGTTCTGGCTACCAGTTGGATGTTGCCCGAAAGTATTCGGAAACACTTAGCCAGGTGCAGCAGCAGACAGTAGAAGTAGTAGAAAAATGTACTAGGTTCTTTAAAGTACGGCTTGGGATCATCACAATGGATCGAGGGAAACGTGTCCTCCGACGTCATCTGGGACTTAGACG